TCCATATTCCTGAGGTCTTTCATTGAAAATGTAAAAGGAAAGAAGGGTCTGTGTATGTGGTGTGTGATATTTACTTGTTTTATTGCTTATGCCTCAGACCAACCATATTGACAGTGACACCTTCTTTTCTGGTAGGTGTGTCAAGAGTGTTTCTTTTATTTTTTAAAATTTTGTCAATGTCTTTCACTTTTACTTCATTTACATTTCCCAATATATCCCTACTCCTTTCCTTCTCCCAGGTCCACTTATAACAAAGAATAAAAAAAAGAGGAAGAAAAACAGTTCAATAAAACTAACTAATACTTTGAGACCAACTTATGTTCAATGTTCTATACCCATCCTCATCTCTTCAAAGAAGGGAGAGAAATACATTCTCATATCTTTTCTTTGGAACTGAGCTTAGTAACTAATTTCACAGTATTCAATTTCAATTGTTTTGTTGATGCTCTTTCCAAGTGCATTCTAATGATTGTTTATATTGTTTCCTGGTTCTTACACTGTGTGTATTTAACAGGAGTTGATCCAACACTGGTCTTTATTTACTTTATTCCCCACCCCCACCCCGACCCCATCAAGCATTAAGTATTTTTTAGGATTATTGCCCTGAAGAAAACTGCTACTTTCAAGAAAATTAACACTGCAGTATTGTATTAATAAGGCTTGTATTTTCAGTTATCCTTTACACTATTAGGATAATGTAATAATTTTGTATATTGTTTCCCTGTTCTCTTTGCTTCATATTCTGTCAGTTCACACAAATTATCTCATACTTTTCTGTTTCCCTCGTATTTTTAGTTTCTTAATATTCTATTACATTCATTTAGTAGCACAATTTTTCAACATTCCTCAATAGACATCTACTTTGTTTTCCAGTTTTTTAAATATTTTGGTGAATATGGGACCTTTCTCCATTATTTACCTCCTTAGGGTGACTTTCTTAGCATAATTCCAAATTACTTTCTGAGGTGCTTTACGATTCAGAGCTTCAACAACATTTTATTAGTGAGTCAGTCCGTCTTTCTGCAACCCTTCCAACACTGACTATTCTTATTTTTTGTCATCATTGCCAAATTGCTGGTTGTGATATGAAACCTGAGAGATGTTTTGGTTTTTATGTTTCTTATTAGTGATTTGGATAAAGAGTTTTTATTTTTCATTTTTTAGAAAAACAGTGGTATCTTTTGTTTTTACATCACCTAAACTTCTCCCTATATTTCTTCCATCCCCCTTCCAGAGAGCCATCCTATATAACAAAAAAAAGTTTCTTAAAGAAAAAAACAAGAGGAAGAAGAGAAAAAAATAAACAAAACTGATCAATATCATACATTTAAAAACTCTGAAAATAGTTGTAATATTCCATACTTGTGAACCTCCCATCTCTGCAAAAGAGTTGAGGGAAGTGTCTTCGAATATATTTTTGTTAAGGACATGCTTGTTCTTTGTAATTTTGTAACATTCACTTTCATTAAATGTTAACATTGTTAACATTCACTTTCAGTTCTTTCCATTTGTGTTTTTGTCATCATTGTGTATATTATTTTCTTTGTTTTTCTTACTTTACTGTGTATCAGTTCGTGTAAATCTTTCCATGCTTCTCTGTTCTTGTCATAGTTGTTAGTTCTTATTGACAATTGATATTCCATTACATTCTATGCACCACTGTTTGTTTAACCATTTCTCAAATGATGAGCATCTACTTTGTTTTCAGTTCTTTGCTACCACAAAAATGCTGCTATAAATGTTTTGGTGTATATGGGAACTTGGCAGCAATCTCATTGGAGTATATGCTGAGGTGTAGAATCTGGATCAAATGATATGGACATTTTAGTCACTTTATTTGCATAGTTCCAAATTGCTTTTCAGAATAGTTAAACAAGTTCACAGACAGCTTCACCAGGAATACATTAGTGAACCTGTTTTCCCACAACTCCTTCAACATAAGACTATTCCCATTCTAATCTGTGTCAGTTTGCTGTGTGTTAGGTAAAGTGTCAAGGTTGTTTTGATTTGCATTTCTCTTATTATTAATGATTTGGAGCATTCTTTCATATGATTGTTATTAGTTTGTACTTTTTTTTGAGAACAATGTGTTTATATCCTTTGACCACTAATCACAAAAGAATGCCTTTGGGTCTTATGTATTTGTGTTAGTTGCCTGTGTATCTTGGACATCAGATCCTTATCAAGGATATTTGAAACAGATATTTCCCCCTTACTTGACTGCTTCCCTTTCCTTAGTTAAATTGTTTTTTTCTCATAAAATCCTTTTTATCTCTGTAATTGAGATGATGTAGTTTATCTTTTGTGATTGCCTTTATCCCTTGTTTGGTTAAAAATTGTCCCATTAGCCATAATGTGTAAAATTATGGCTTTTTCCACAAATTTTTAAGAAAATGATGTGATCTTTTCTATCTGAGTTGAATACCTATTTATTTGGAACTCATGTGGTCTAAGAGGTTGGTCTAAATATATATATATATATTTTTTGTAAAATGCTTTCTCATTTCTTCAGAATTTGTCAAATAGGGTGTCATTCCCCAAGTAGTTTATGATTTTGGGTTTGTTGAAGCCTAGCTTAATTAGTTTGATTGTATTTGATTCTAGTCTGATACTGATTTGCTTTTCCATTTTTTAAAATCAGCATCAAATGGTTTTGTTGATTACTACTTCACAGTATGATTTTAGATCTATTCCTCCTTCATTACTACTTTTTAAATTTATCTTCATATTATAAACTTTTTTGTTCCTTTATAGATGAAGGGTACCTGATCTTGTTCTTTTCTAATTTTTTCATAATATAAGCATTAATATTCAGACCATGTATCCACTATGATCTTATTTTGTTATATGATATAAAATATTGGTCTGCTAAATTCTGCTCACCTGCTTTTAAATTTTCCCAAATTCTTATCAAATAGTTTGCAAAGTTTATGGTTGTCCTTACCTTTTTCAAGACTGTATTACTGAGAGGTCAGAGGAATAATAAACTACAAAAACAGCAAATGAACCACAGAGAATCTTACTGATGTTTCAGCAGGAAGCATTAACTTTACACTGTGTGGGGGTTTGCTAGGAGTTAATACAACATTGGTTCTTATTTTCACAACTCTTCCTCCCCTTGCACCCCTGCACTCCTGCACCCCTGCCCCTCCATCCTAGTTATATATCAAGCATTAAGTATTTTTAGGATTATTACCCTGAAGAAAACTGGTACCTTCAGGAAGAGCTACCCTGCAATATTATATTAATAAGGCTTGTATTTTCAGTTATCTTCTACAGTGTCAAGGTAATATTGTTGCTTTTGGGGTTCCCTAGTAATTACTAGTATTTGGTTTCTAGCTACTTTATTAATGTCACTTAAAAAAAGACTTGAGTGGAAAGAGGCTAGATATTGAAAATTCAGACTCTCTGCAAAGTCTAAGGGAGACTCAGCCCATTTTAGTAGTCATTAAATAACTATTTAATGACTACTAAAAATCTTTGGGCACTGCACAGACTCGTAGCCTTGGGGCCTTCTGGGCCCATCACAGCTTGATCCTTCTTAGGTCTATGGGCCGTATGATGTCCTTGCCCAGCCCATTTTCCCTACAGCACCCCCACCATTGCGGTTTGCCAGCTACTGCCCAGCCATCTGCATCTGTATTGCTTTTCTCTAGGCCATGTTCTGGTGTGTTCCTGGCAATGTTCCTTACTGCCTGCCCCAGTATATAGTTGCCTACTGTTGGCTTAAAGGGCAGTAGCTCACTGCTTTGGCATCCTGGTGTGTAAATATTTGTCAAAGGGTGGGGGTGTTTTCCCATTCCCCAAAAAGCATTCTGAAAAATGTCCCTGTTTTCTTAGTCATATTTCCAGGCTGTGGGTCAGGCAGCCCATTCATTCCTTGGCTGCTGGCAGACACTGGCCTGGCCTCAGCTGGCAGTAAGAAGCATGCAGCAGCCTTCCACACTATCACCTTAAAGCTTCTCTACAAGGGAGTTCTGGATTCACAGGGAGTAGTGGGAAATGTGTTCACTGTGAGGGGAACATTGCTTCCTTCATTGAAGGAGTCATACATCTCTCCTATATAACTTTCCTACCTCTTCCACCTCAACTTGGTATTGGTACATAAGTAGAATCAGAAAAAATGGGGAAAGCTAACCAAGCAGGCTCATTGGGGACTTTGAGTAGCATTTAGTTATGTACAAATTTTTTTCATTTCAGACTTGAGGTAGAAATGATTTATATGCCATGTTTTTATCTTTCCTATATCAAATTGATGTTAATGATGTCACCATTGTGTGTTTTGAATTGGTTTTTCAGTATTGGTGATGGATTTACACTGGAATATCCATACTTTCACCTAGTTCTCCTTATGAACCTTTGCAAGGTGGTTGATTAAACTGAGGTGTGTAGCCATGAAGCAGAGTTTGTCTTTGGGTAGAATTGAGCCTTTGATCTTGACCTCATTAGGACCTTTCTTTAATAAGCATGAGCTTAAGATATACTGAAGATTTGTTTTAATTGTCAGCCCAGCCCCAGTTGATTAAAGTGACTGTTAATATGCCTGATTAATTCACATGTACTTCTCTCCTACCAACTTTCTCCAAGTCTTAACTTCTAAAGCCCCTTCATTCCCTTTCTCCATTCACTCTTCCCAACCCCTGCATCCTTTTATACCTGTCTTCTAGTACAGTCATTTGTCCTTTTTCTCAGTCACACACTCACACACACACACACACACACATACACACTCTCTCTCTCTCTCTCTCTCTCTTTCTCTTTCTCTCTCTCTTCTTCTTTTATGTGCCATGTTGCCACTATTTACCCCTTATCTTCTTTGTCAGAAATTGGTAAAGAGTGTGAGGAACCCTTGAATGTCCTTACAGAACAAGGGCATTTGACTTTCAGACTGAATTGATTGGGGAAGCATACTATAGTTGTTAGTACATATGTGCTTTTTCTATCTACAGCATAACTGTTTAAAACCAATATAATATTTATACAAACTCTCTCTTTCCTAGATCATTAATTTCTATATGAATATGATAATGGAGCGAAGTAAAGAAAAGGGAATGCCAAGTGTCCATGCATTTAATACCTTTTTTTATACCAAATTAAAAACGGCTGGGTATCAGGCAGTGAAACGGTGGACAAAGAAAGTGGATGTATTCTCTGTGGACCTCCTTTTGGTACCTATTCACCTGGGACTACACTGGTGTTTAGCGGTGAGAATCTTTGATGAATTTTAAAAGAAACATAGACATGAAGAGTGAACAGTGGTTCTTCATCTTCGCATGGGACCGGGAAGAAATTAGAATGACCTTTAGGAGAAGGGTTACAGATTGAAGAGAAGGAAGAACTTCCTATCAGGATTAGGTGACACTAGATGACTTTGAAGAAAACTAGAATTTTCTTTGGTGGGGATTAAAAACAAAGGGGAAGAGAGCAGCTAGGTGAGTTGCAGGATAAAGTGGGGACCAAGAAGACTTATCAGGAGTGCTATACCAGAGGGTCTGTGACTCTTATTTGTCAACTGAATCTGTGATCATAATTCATCTTGCATGCCAACTGATTTAATGATTTATATGACTAAGTATTAGTCATGTAATTAGTTTGGTACATTTGTGAAATTGTCCAAATTTTTTTTAATTGGAAAGTAAAACCTTTCATAGCTCACTGTTCACTTTTGTGTTATTTTAAAAAAAAAGTTATTAAACACGTACAGAATGCAAAACGATGTAAATTCAGTGCTCAAGAAAATACAAAGATAAATAATACAGTCCCTGCTCTCATAGAACTTCTAATCTAGTAAGGAAAATAAGACATGTACACAGATAACCATAATGTAAGATAAAATGTTGGTAAGTGCTTAAGAGAGACAGAATGCTATGAATTCTGAGGACAAATATTCTTGATGTAGGAAATATCAGAGAAGGTGTTGTGGTGGCAGAAACAACAGAACCTAGTATCAGTCAGTCGGCAGACATTAAGCACCTACTATGTGTCAGGCACTGTGCTAAGTGTGGGTATCACCATTAGTTACTGGCATAATTAGTCACATTACTATCACATGACTATCTATTAGGCACGGTGATCCCAGTGATGCTTTTGTCAGGTTGCTTTTTTTTTTTTTCTCATTGATCCATGATTTGTAACTGAAAAAATTGAGGTCTGTAGAGACTCTTAGATCAGCTCACGAAGCAAACAGATGCTCAGGCTTCACCTTGGTCTTTTAGTGCCTTATATTACTCAGACATGAATACAGTGCCTCCCAGCTGGTGACCCACAAAGTGCCTGGGTAGGGAAGGTTCAGGAATCCTGTTTTGTTCACTTTGTAAACACAGTCTTTTCTTACTTCTAGGTAATAGACTTCAGGAAGAAATATATCACCTATTATGATTCAATGGGTGGAATAAACAGCGAAGCTTGCAGAATCTTGCTGTAAGTAGGGAGCTTTCAACAGAGATAATTAGATATCAGATTGCATATGTGGTGTTTTCCAACTCTTGAATTATTAGAAAATTAGGAGAATGTGTCTAGTAAACCATATCTATTTTTCATCAAATATTAGGGTATGATATGAATGCAAAACAAGTATATATGTATGTATATAAATAAATATATATGTTTATACACACAATATATGCAAGTACATAATATGTGTATATGTGCGTATATTCCACATATTTTATTATGTGTATATATGTGTGTACCTTTATATATCTGTGTGTACACATGTACATACGCATACATATATACATACACATATATACCTATACACATACATACGTGTGCGTGTGTGTGTGTGTGTGTGTGTATAATGTGGAGTGGCATCATGGATGAGATTCAGGGTCAGGAAGACATGAGTTAAAGTTCCACCTTAGATACATATTGACTCTTAGTATCTCAGGCCACTCCCTAAGCTGAATCGAAGAGCAGATGCCCCATTATACTAGTAGAGAGAGTCCTCATTGGGAATTCCCTATATCAATGAAATCACAGATTCTATTCCCAAAAAACATGTATATCTAAGTAAGATGTAATAACAGTAATAACAATAATATTAAAAATTCAGCTGGATGGGGAGAAACCAGGAAATAACTGTATCATTGTACCAAATCAGAAACTATTAAAACTAGAAATGATATTACGACTCCTACTTTGTTAGATTAGAAAGATGAAATTAACATCATTTATTAAGCATCTGCTATGTTTCAAACACTCAGGTAGGGCTAAGGATACAAAGACAAAAGTGAAATAGTTCTTGCCCTCAAGGAGTTTACAGTCTTGTGAGGGGAGGCAAGTTTATATCTAGGTCTATACATAATAGGACAAATAATTTTCAGCACATGGGGATGAAGTACTATAAGCTGGGGCTGATCAGGAAATACTTCATGTCAAAGGAGGTGCTTAATTAAATTGGTTTTGGTTGAATGATAACAGTTCATAAGGTAGATTACATAAGGTTGAGAGATGTAGGAAAGAAAGTGTAGACAGCTTTTTCTAGGAGTTTGGTTGTGAAAGAGAATGATTCAGAGGATACTTGGATCTACTGGGAGATTTTTAGGGATGAGGAGACTTAGGTATGTTTTCAGGCAGCAGAGAAGGAACAAGTAGATAGGGAGAGATAAAAGATAAAAGGAAGATAGAGGGGAAGACCGTAGGGGCAATTTTCTGAAGAAGATAGGAAGAGATGGGATCACGTAAAGGATTGGCCTTTCTGAGGAGAGTGAGGAGAGGCCAAGTGTGAAGGTGGGTAGAGGGGTTGGTGTGGGAGTTTGAGAGTTTAGAAAGTTGCTGTGGTGAGTAGAATAGAGGCCAATTACAAATTATTGGTGGACCTAGTCAGCATAGTTAATATGACTTCTCTAGCTCCATTCAGCAGGTTGAATAGAGAGATTTAATAGGGAATAATCCAGGATTAGGATTTGTAAAGAATAATCAGTGACAGGACAGGGACACAAGGGATTCAAGAGTTGAAGAAAGTGTAATGCTGAACTAGTTAACTAAAGGGTCAAGATTGGAAAGGGAGGGGGCAGCTAGGTAGCACAGTGGATAGAGCACCAGCCCAGGAGTCAGGAGGACCTGAGTTCAAATCTGGTCTCAGACCAGACACTTGACACTTATTAGCTGTGTGACTCTGGGCAGGTCACTTACCCCAATTGCCTCAAAAAAAAAAAAAAAAAAAGATTGGAAAGGGAAAAAAGTGAAGCCAGTGCAGGGGTATGGCCAGAGAGAGTCCTTCAGAGTGGAGAGATTAGAGGCCATAGCGAAAACAAAGAACAGGTTCGATAGGAATGAAGCATTGAGAGATCAGGTTATGATTGGAATAAAGGGATTTCATAGTTCTTGGTCACAGAAGTGGTACAGTTGTGGATGATGACAAGACCAAGAGTGTGGCTAAAGGTGGAGTGGAACAACACTTCATGGGAGTTGAGTATATTAAGAATGAGGAGGTTAGAGTATTTGAGAGAACCTCAGCATGTAGGTTCAATGTTTTTTGGTCTTTTGAATCTGAATAACAGTTTATGGTTCTTTCCTCCATGTTATAACATTCCCCTTGTTGCCCTCTTAGCTGGGGTGAGTTAGACTTTAGAGTTAATTTCTTTCACAAAATAAATAAAACTTAGTAATAGTGTACAAAGCTATCCTAATCAATGTCATTGACCACCTAGACACTTTGAGAAACGTAGCTCTTATGGGGCAGCTAGTTGGGCACAGTGGATAGAGCATTGGCCCTGAAGTCAGGAGGACCTGAGTTCAAATCCAGCCTGGGACCAAACACTTCACACTTACTGGCTGTGTGACCCTGGGCAAGTCACTTAACCCCAATTGCCCCCCCCCCCAAATCTGAAATGTAGCTCTTACCATTTGCCCCCTGAATTCAAAAGAAGTAGCAATTTATTCCTGAATGCTAATGAGAAAGGGGAGATCATATCTGACTCATCTCTATCTTTGGTCACATGGAGGATACCCATTTGGTTCTTAAGCATCTTGTGCAATTTGAAAGGCAAGCAATGCCCCCAAGATTCCCAGAGAAAGCATAGCAATTCTTAGGTTCCACTCAGCCCCCCACACCCCAGCTCAGAAATAGCATGATCTATTTCATCTGAGAAGATAGGTTCTTGATGTATAGACAACAGAACTGTTTGGAAAATAGAGAACTCTGATTAGACTTCTCTGTGGCTCATATTTAAAATCATTAAAATTTAAAGCTGGAAGGAACCTTGGATTTAGCCCAAATCTCTCATTTTAATTGTTCTCTTTCAATTCCTGTAGGCACTACCTAAAGCAGGAGAGCCTTGACAAGAAAAGGAAAGAATTTGATACCAATGGCTGGCTTCTCTTCAGCAAGAAAAGCCAGGTATGTTGCTTCCTGTTCCATTGATGTATCCTAGAAGCCCTGAGACTAGAGTTACTAGCTTAAAATTCCCCAGCAGATTCTCCTCTCTGTTCTTGGTTTCAGCCTTCAGTTTTACCTTCAGATACTAGGACCCCAAACTCCCTACCTCTTTTGCTAAAATGATCACCACTAAGGTCAGAGCAATTAGGAGAGTTATTGAGGATTTCACCACAAGTTAGATCTTCTTTGAGGTCAGGTGGCCTGAACTGGTACCAATTTAAATGCTGGTTAAGTGGGGCTGTGGAAGCACAAGGAATTCAGCTTTGCTACAAGTTTAAAAAAAATACAAAGTCATAGCTGTGATTGAAATACCGCCTTCTGTCTTTAGTTCTTTGTTTTTTTCTGAAGGAGAGGTAGTTGGTTCATTTAGGACAAGATGATCTCTCACAACCCGGGAAAATACCTTTAGTGTGTCTACCCCTTGAGGCCTACTTAAATCGAAGAATAGAGGAATTAGGAGTCAGATGAGTGTCAGTTGTTTTTCTTTCAGGAAATTCCCCAGCAGATGAATGGGAGTGACTGTGGGATGTTTGCCTGTAAATATGCTGATTGCATTACCAAAGACAGACCAATCAATTTCACACAGGTGAGTGGATGAAGTTATGGGGAAGGATGTCTGTAAAGCCTTCCTATCTTCAAACTGCCCCAAAAGCAAACACACACACATACACACTGCTCTGGGCATTGGCATGACCTTTAACGTACTTCAGCCTGTAAGTTATGACATAGTAGTCACTGGTTATTCCAGATAATATAGGCTGAAAGAATCATGAGTGAGATAAAGTAAGGCCAAGTCATTCCATTAAGGGGCACAACTCCTGTTATAAACTAGAAACTTTGGACTTAATCAGAACCTCTTCTCTTCCCAGTCTGCGGCCCCCCCCCCCCAAAAAAAAATCAAAAAGACAAGACCAGTGGGTCTGATATTATTTGAGGTTTTGGCATATGGCTTGAAGCTAGGTTGAAAAAAGCCTTAACCTCATCCTCTTTTGGAACCCCAATTAAATCATAGGCCTCTTCCTCCTGTGTTAGATATATATTATTACATATTATATATAGTATTTTAAAGGGATCTTGTCTCTACCATGGCCTCTGAATGGCCATGGAGATAAGTGTGGCACATTATTAGAAACCTAATCTCATTTTGTTGAGACAGGAAACTTCAAATAATAAGTTACTTAGGGTGTTATGTAAAGAAATGGGAGCCAACCAGAAAAATTTTTGAGTAATATAATATGGAAAAGACATAGAAAACATATGAATTAAAAGTAGAATCTAGGCTTGAGAAGAATGAATAGAAGATCAGGGGCCTTTGGGCAGTGACACATGATGCCTAAAGAGTCTGTGTTTGAGTGTGTGAGTATTATAGATTGGAGAGCTCAGGGAAGACTTCATAGAAGAGGTGGTATTTGAGTGGGATTTAAAAGAATGCACTTAAGCAGAAGGCGAGGGAGAGGAAGGACATAGAAAGCAGTTTGAACAGAGGCCAGAAAAACCCAGGGAGTGTTTGGGGGACAGAGAATAGTCCAGTTTGACCAGTGATTAGGGGACTTGGAGGGGAATAATGTGAGATAAGCTTGGAGAAGTAGGGTGATTTCCCATTATGGAAGGACTTCACTGCCAGGTAAATGGTTTGAACTTTACTCAGTTGGTTGTAGGGAGCCACTGAAGATTTTTGAGCAAGGCAATGACATTACCAGATCTGTACATAGGAAAGCACATTCTGGCCAGCAGGATTACAAAAAGATTGGAAGGGGGAGAGATCAGAAGTAGAATAGATTGTAAGGAGGCTATTGCAGCAGTTGAGGTGGGTGGTAGTGAGTCTTACACTAGTATGGTAGCAGAAGGAATACAGAAGAAGAAATGGATGGGAGAGAGATTTTGGAAGGAGACAGGACTTGGTAAGTAATTGAATATAAGAAGTAAGGGAGTAATAATAAAAAAGAAATTTTAATTTAAAAACCAAAAATAAGGGAGGTAGAAGTTTGACTCAAAAGTAACACCAAGATTTTGAACCTCGAACACTGAGTGAATAGTGGATCCACCAATAGAAATGATGAAGTTAGGAGAATTAGGAAAAGATGAACTCCATTTTGGATATGTTAAGTTTGAGGTATTAGTGGGGCATCTAGTAAAGATGTTCTGGCCATTGGAGATGTGAATATGAAGATCAAAAGAGAGGTCGGGGTAGAGAAAAGTATTTGAAAGTGAATTGCATAGAATTGAAACCAGGAGAGTGAGTCAGAATGCTAAGGGAGAGGCTGTAGAAATAAAAGACAAGAGGGGTAAGGACAGAACATCGGGGAAGAGAACAGGAACTAATGAAGAAGTGGAGAACTGGCTGGAGAGGTAAGAGAAACAGGAGAAAAATATATTTCCTCTGAAACCATAGGAGAAGAGGCCCCAGAATTTTGACTACCCCAAAGGCAGTACTCAGTAGTGTCAAACGCTTCACAGAGGAATGAATCTTCATTCACAGAAGAATGAAGATTTGGCCATTGAAACATAATTGGTTGAAATTGAAAAGGTGGTTTCAGAAGAGGGGGAAGCCGAATTGCTCGAGGTTAAGGGGAAAGGGTAGTGAGGAAGAGATCAAGGCATCGAGTGTGGGCAACTTATTCCAGAAGTTTGGCAATGAAAGGAGATGGGGCGATAGGTGGCTGGACTGATAATACTGCACGCAAAGTTTTTTCTTTTTTAGCACTGGGGACGCCTGAACATGTTTGTAGGCCAATGAGAAAGACCCAGTAGAGTGAAAAGATTGAGGATGCATGAGAGGGGAGGGGGTAATGGCTGGAGCAAGGTCTTGGAGGAGATGGAAAGGGAGGTCACAAATAACTTTAGCAAGGGATTAAGATACATCTCACTCTGGAACAGAAAGACTGTTCAGCAAATACTGAGTAGGAAAGAATATGTAATGCTGGATGAGAAGGTTTAAGTGGAATTTAGAGAGTTCCTGCCCAGTGACCATTATCTTAATGGAGTGGAAGGTTGTGTCATCCACTGTAAGCATGGAGTGTTTGGAGTATGATTTGGACTTGGAGATAGATGAAGAGATTTGTTATTGAGACTGAAAATGGAGTCCAGAAGAAGAGAGCAGAGGGACTGGCTCGCAGCTACAAAGGCTTATCTGAAGTGATTCACCGTAATGTATACTGGATGGAATCCACTTGATTTGTGACTTACACCAGTTGAAGAGTAGAAACAAATTGGATATTAGGGGTCACTAGGATTGAAGGTCAGGTCAGGTGTTGTAGAAGGCCTGAAGAAGTAGTCGGGGGATTCTAGGATAGCAGTTATTGAAACATTGAAGTTGCACACATGGAGCCAAAGCTCAGGGTGAGGGAATTGAAATCCAATACCTTTCCAAGTACTCTGGGTAGACTAGGCACACCTAGTGTCAGCGAGAGAGCTACAGTATCATTTCAGGTAGAAAGTTGGGGGAAAGTTGAAGAATGAAAAAGCATAAAGTACAATTAAGAATATACAATTTTAAATAAATTAGAATATATAAATAAATAAGAATATACAATTTTAAATAAATTAAATAAATTACTTGCAGATCCTTGCAAATCAAGAGGGCAAAAATGAGGAAAGTAGGGCTGGGACAGATTCTTGAGCATCATTAATGTCTTTAAAGGGCTCTGGATGAGGGCCAAGGGGAGAAGTTTGAGGAATCGCCTCCAAAAACCTGAGCATGTTTCTTTGTCTTCCCTAGCAACACATGCCATACTTCCGGAAGCGGATGGTCTGGGAGATCCTCCACCGAAAGCTTCTTTGAGAGCCGCCATGGTCAGCAGTCACTGACCTCTTGGGGGACCAGCTCTGGGCTGTTTTTGCTCCCATCTTGTTTGTTGTTGTTGTTGTTGTTGTTGTTGTTGTTGTTGTTGTTGTTGTTGTTGTTTTTAAACCCTAAAGAACATCAATCCTGGACCAGATCCTGGCAAGATGCATTCACAAGCACATCTGCCTTTGCTTTTATATCTCAGAACCTATTTTTGCAACGTAACTTTGGTGCTGTGTGAAGAGAGAGGGTAAGGGATTTTGTCAAGCCGAAGAGAGAGACTGTTTTCCCCTTCTCCTATTCTGCCATCTTCTTTTGAAAGGACTCTAACTACCCCAGTCCTTGTTAACCAGAATGAGCCCTGCAAGTTTCATTAAGATCTGAACAGGTTTGGAAATTATCTTTGTTTCAGATGTACTGCTGGTGTTGGGTTGTATTGGGAGGTTAGGGTATGTGTACATGCACACTTACCCACACATAACTGTCAAAGTTTGTGGACAAGAATGTGTTTAAACTGGAATTCTGGGTACATGCATGGACTAATGCTCCTGTTCAATCTCTCCCACATGGAAGCTGACTTCTTTGTAAAATTCTGATTTTATCATCTCCCATCTCCTCCTGTTCCTTTCCCAAACTTCATATGAAGAAGAATATGCGAGCCCCCAAAAGCCCTTTCCCTAGATGTGGGGTTTCGCCTATGATGGGAGTTTGTGGGATAGGGAGACCCACACAGGAAGCAGATTAGAGAAGCAACAAAGCACCATTTTCACTGGCTCCCATTTCTGAGCAAGAGAAAGGACCTCAGTCTTTAACTTAAAATTCCAGCATTGAATGAATGTAGGTCCAGTCCCATCTGTGGCAAGTTAGTTTAAATATATTTCTAACCACAGAGAATGTAATATATGTATTTCACAAGGAAATGCTTCTTTTTTAAAAAAGGAAAAAAAAAAGCTGAATGTGTTCATCAGTCGACCTGCAGACTTGTTTCCATTTTCCAAATTTAGCTCTAGCACGCACAGAGCTCAAGCCCTGTATGCAGGGTATTCATGGGCTTTCTGACAGAACCTTTTGAAACTTGAATGAATTCTAGCTGAGAAGAGGGTGGAGGGTGCAGCGTGCAGTGGATAATGAGTTGTTCAGCTCTAGGACAGACAGGGTTTAAGCTTCCTGACTTGGGATGCAAAAATCTCTGCTCTTTCTAGCACCCTCCTTCCCACCATCTATGAACCTCCTTGGGCTTGGGTAGTGAAGATGAATGGTCAGTGTCATTTTGTACTTATGTTCCAAAAAAGGAATATTTTATACTCTTTTTCTGTATTGTAATAGGTAGTTTTGTATATTCCATCCCTTCTCATATCGCACTTTCCCTGGTCTCATTTGAAGATCTTATTGTTTTCTACTGAGCTTGTTTAGTACATTTTTGTATGTTTGCCACGAGTTACAATTTTGAAATGAAAATTATTTTTTTTAATATTCCATTGTTAACTGAATGTTGATGTGTCCACCTCAGCAACCATCCTATATCTTTAACAGTCTGCCTTCTTGGGAAAGGCCACTTTTTTGTGTGTGTGTTTTGTATAGGAAATAAATGGATTTCAATACCATGACTGGTTACCCTTCAGATTCTCTTTCACAAAGCCACTGGCATGTTAGTTGGCTACAGAACTGTAGCACTTCGTCTGGTTTTCATCATTTGTTGTTGTTAAAGAGGCCACGTGGTATAGAGGCTACCGTTACAGAATTTAGGGTTCAGACACTTCAGTTCAAAGGTCAAGGACTTGCACTTGCTGTCTGTGTGATCTTGGACAAGTTACTTTCTCTCTTGGTCTCACTTGTAAATACAATATGAGATTAATTAGACAAGTCTAAAAATGCACCGGGCTGGGAGTCAGGACAACTGAATTCTCATCGAGGTTCTGTCATTAGCTAGCTGTAGAACTGGGCTCAGGGTGCTTTATTTCTGTGTCTTCAGTCATCATTTTTCAAAGGAAGATAGAAAACCTAACCTACCTGACTTACAGGGTTAGTATGAAACTCAGATGAGATAATCTATAATAAAGTGTTTTAGAATATCCAAAGATCTACACAAGGGACTGTTGATGAGTGCCTCTCCCTCTCCCCTTCCTTTAACATTACTAGGTTTTTCAGTAAGTATGAGCCGATGATCCTGTTTAGGGTCCACGTGGTGGGAGAGAGGCAGGCCCCTAGGGAGGCGCAATCCATCTTAATGCCCTTCCCACAGATAAAGAAGACCAGCGTGTTGTACACGGCATCGTCCATCCTTTCTTTGATGTCTGGGTAGACCCTGATTGCTTGTGGGTAGAAGCTCATTCTCATCCACCAGGTCCATGCCTCAGCCAATCAGTACGCGTTTTTTAAACACCTGCTATGTGTCAGGCACTGTGCTAGGTGCTAGGGTTACAAATCTAATGAATGAAACAATCCATACTCTTAAGGAGCTGACATTTTAATTGATTGGAAAAGAAAGAAGGTGGGCGGGTGAGGCCCATTACTGGTCTGCAGGGTGTATTGCTTACCTTAATTTCAAAAAAGAAAAATCAAGCCTACCCAAATGCATTTGTCCCACATTTAAAGGTATTACTGCTTGATTGTTTTAACTTCTATATTTCTCGTTTTTATTCTTCATACTCTTTACTCTTTCCCTGTGACCAGAACCAAATCACCACTTTTAAAGAAGAATGCTTTTAAGGAGTGACACAATCTTTTCTCTCCCATCTTAAACATTTCACAAGATCCCTTCTATATCACACCCTTCTCTACCTTTCAAGTCCTTCTCTGGATCATTTTCCAGGCAGACTTTCTTAAGTAATTATACTCCTCTCTCATAGGTTCACATCTTTCCAGCTTTCTCTACACTCTGTTCTCTGTCAAGAACAGCTCCGTATTTCATGTTACTCAAGGATGAAACAAATCGGCCCCGTAAACACTTCTCAACTGTTCTGCCTCACAACTCCACTGCCTTGTACCAGTGATCCACGAAACTGAGATGGGCCCAAGGGAAAGAATGGATCTTCCCAAATCCTTACCTCTTCAGATCAGCAACAAAGCCATGAACCTGTGTTTATTTGCATGACTGGTTAAATGATTCAGGGTGTGTGTGTGGTGGAAGGGGAGGTTTTACTGAGGGGAGGTAAGTTTAGGGTTTTGAGGGGGGACAGGGAGGAGAAATGGAGTCCTCTGAACAATTCCAAATTAGACCAGATTTATGTTTCTAGAGTTTAGTCACAGAGCCTTCTCCTAATTCACTCTTCTAGTATCCATCCTCTTCTACTACAAAATAGAAAATGATATCTAAGCATGGAATTTGGGGGTTGACTGCTCCCTATCTCTGCCTAGTTAAGAGATACTGAGGTGGAATATCTGTTCAGTTGAGGGAAGGAGATGTTACATCAAAAGTGAGGAAGGACACAAGGTCTCAGTAGAGCTTGTGGATAACCCAAGGTGAAACATCTTGAGCCCAGAGTTCTTAGGAAATGCCTCCTCTTCCCTTGCCTTAATAGGCATATTGCTACAGTCCCTGAGCAGTGGCTCCTACAGTTTTGAAAAGGGTAAGGAAGCTTCTCCACAACAGGGCAAAATAGGGAAGCTGGTTTTCTTGCCTCTTCACCCAGAATCCTGTCTTTGCTTTGGAGGAGTCATGCTGATAATGGAAAGAAAAGGTTTGTAAAACCACTCCCTGACTTTTTTCTTCTCCTTTCAGTTTTGCTCCTGACAGCTGGGAGCTGGGACTTATATTTTAGGTTTAGTTGTATGTGTGTCTCTTTTCTTTTTTTTTTTTTTGTATGTGTGTTTCTTGAGCTCCTCAGAAGACAAGAGCCTAAGTCTGAAGAATTCAAGTAGATGTAGGATGTTGACATGTCAGGAATTTTGTAGAAGATATCTTATGAGAGGTCCATGGGTTACAGGATTTTTTTAGAGTCTGAAAA